TTCCAAGTCTTTAACTGAGGTTACTGGTTGTGTGTTGCATTAGTTTATTCCTGGATTTGGTCTATCTGGAGTTCTGTTACTACTACACTGCTTGCTGCTGTCATTTTGCTACTTTTCCATCGGCTATAGTTGCATCTTGCACTGGGATTAGTTCTGTTTTTACCTGTTGTTACTGTTGCTGTTTGGTGTATGCTACTACTGCTCTACTGACTTTCCTGCTTCTTCAATTGTAAGCACTTTCCAAGTACACACTCGAATCTCATACTGATGTAACACTAAAGGCATGAAATGAAAGATGCAAAGGAACCTGGTCATCTGCTGCACTTACAACTTTTAAATGTGTTTGGGTTTGTGTAACTTTCAGTTTGTAGCTCCATAAAAAAAATATACATTTGTGCAATGTGTACTTAATAGAAGTTTAGTCTATTTAACACTATTTGGTTTCAGTTGTTAAGTCGTCTGTATGACGAGGAGTGCGCGTGTGTTTAGTACATTGGCAGTTAAATCTCAGCTTCTATCTTTATTCCTAAACATGTAAGGCAGGATGCTTTTAATTCGACAAAAGTCGCATCATAATTCTGAGTCATTTAAACTAACTCTATCAAAATTGGGTTTCGTTAGGCAGTTTATAGGACCACGTCCGAACCCCATTGGTAGTAGCTTATAGTAGTCAATGCTATTAATCTGGTTAAAAGGTCAGCTTAAATAAAAATGGGACAGACGTCTAGGGTGAGTTTAGCATGCTATTTGTCTTGTATGCAATTTCTTTTATCAAACTGAAAGCATGTCCAATAAGGTACAAAAATTTCCCACCTCGCAGAGAATTAATCCAATAACTAATAAGAGGTCAAATTGGCCAAGCATGCAATTTAATTAACACGTATTTTCTTTCTTCATTTATTTTAGAAAAACAAAAAAAATAGAAATATAGTCATGCTAAGATTATCCTTTTAAAATTAATGAGACGAGCCTCGTCAAATAAAAATGCAAATTGCGGGGCCCTCAATAATTGGTCATAATAAATATTTAGAATTTGGGATGGATTGTTTAGTGAATTTCACTGCCTTCCCCAAAGATAATAACGCGTAGACTCTTTAGGCGCGACTTAATTAAATTACATTCTTAAATTCGGGTGCGCATTTATGTGACCCAAATTCAAATCTCAACGGAGTCGAAATGTGTTAACAACTACGGGTGCATTGATTGTGACGTGGTTCGAGATGCATTTTCACGACGTTGCAATTCTATAAAAATAAATGATAATAATAAAAGCGGTTTAAACTTAATAAAAGCACATAAGTCAGAACATGTATTTAAATCAGATATTTAGCCATTATAACAATTTAAGCGACCGTGCTAGAACCACGGGATTCGAGGGTGCCTAACACCTTCCCTCGGGTCAACAGAATTCCTTACTTAGAATTTCTGGTTCGCAGACTTCATTTGGAAAAGTCGAAAATTTCCTCGATTTGGGATTCAAGATAAACCGGTGACTTGGGACACCAAAAGCCAAACCTTTCCCAAGTGGCGACTCTGAATTAAATAAATAATCTCATTTCGAATATTGTCACTTAAATTGGAAAAACTCCCTCGCGCATCTTACCCTTCGGGGCGGGCGCAAGAAAAGGAGGTGTGACACCACTGCCACATGTGCATGGTCAACGGTCAAATAAGTTTATTAGTTATTAAATATGTAAGTTTGAGTGTTCAAATGGGAACTATGTAAGTTCCTGTATCGGCTTTACAAATGAAAGCAAATTTAAGTGGCCACGAGGCCATTTCGCCAATAAATTTTTATATAAGTTGGGTTGAGATACCTTTTGTTTTGGGTGAGCTTCATGGGTTATATTTGAGCTGCTTAATGGGTCAGAATGAGCTATAAAATATAATGTGTTAACTTGGGCTCAACCCAAATTGACCCATGAGCTAAAATGTTTGTAACCCAACCCATTAATCTCTGGACGGGTTGGGCGGGTTATATGAGTTTGGGCTCAAATTGCCACCCCTACCTGGCACCAAGGAACTTGTAGTAATTTCTGCTGTTTCACGACTTACACTACTGAAATACACAGGTTTACCTCGAACAAACACATTCAACAAACACCAAGCATTTTGTATCAAAAGTGGTCTGGGCACAAAATTGAAGCAATTCTAGACTAAATTTCACAAGACGCGTGGTGGTTTGGTTATAGCTGCAGTTTTGGAGTTATGACTTCTCTTTATCCGCTGTTAGGGATGATGACTTGGGCCCTGCAAAGGATGTCTAGGTTATAGTGAGTTATCTCATCATAGTTTTGTATTACTTTCCACAATGTTCCCAACCAACAACTGCCCTACACTCAAGAGATGTGAATCAGGAAACATTAGCAGATTCATCACCCCAAACTTCTGAATCTGACTCATTCACCATCCTCTCAAGTGAATCCATGTTCCCAGCTTCTGGGATGGTATGTAAACGAAGCTTTTCAGCATCCTCACTGAGAAAGATTAGGTAAGGAAAAGCAAACAGTGATCAATGGAATTCCAATGTCTCGCCCAATGATTGACAATTTTTTTTGAAGAAGTCACTTACTCTGCCACTCCAAATATTTCCTTAACAGTTAAGGAGCTATCCCTTGAGCAGAATTCTGGAAGCTGTAAGCAAGACAGTCAATTGAGGTTAAACTCAGAACTCAGAAGCACTTCACAATGAAATAAAAAGTTCTACTCTACTGGAAAACTTTGAGTGGGTTCATGTACAGTGGTCAAACCAAATTTTACATCTTTAAACAAGATAGGCAGACTAGGAATAAAGATCGACCAAAACACAGGAAAATGCAGAGCCACTGAAAAATTAGATGCAGCGTCTCAATATGCTAGAAATTACCAAGGAAGTTAGTTCAGATGAATCCCCTGTCCAATTTTAAGAATGCTAGTTTGACCCGTAACTGATACAAAGAGAACAGCTAAAAGAGTGAGTTACTTAGTATTTCTAGGGGAAAACGTGGGAAATACAATTATCTTTTATTTTCAGATAATAGAATAGAATAAAAGTGGTATTTCATAGAGTAGAAATGCATCCCAGGTAACTTTCGAGTTATATAGAAAACTTTCCCTTTTTAAGAGAAACTAAAACCACTTTGTTATTGTTGTAAAACCACTTTGTTACAACCCAAAAAGGAAGTACAATTCTTTTGGACAGAGGGAGTATTTCTATACACAGGCCAGCAACAATCTACCTTGAATTCACCTGACCATAGATGCTAACAAGTTTCATTTTATCTTCGTCCCAGACCAGTGGCAGTTCACACATCCTAGTTAAACATAAACATATAAATCTTTAACTTTATATGACACACAACTGAGCAATCAAGTTGAGATGTAAATGCTAATGTATCAAAGTCACTAGCTTGTCTACAGATCATTATGCAGTTAGATCATACAGTAAAAACAAAAGCACACATCGGAAAAGAGTTAAATAAGCCAACTGAGGAGGAGATACTTTTCATGGCCAATTTAGTAAAGGAAACTATACAACAAAGCATTCAAAAGGAGGGTATTTAACATGACAGATGAGGAGAAGATACTCTTCAAAGTCAATTTAGTAAAGAAAAGAATAACCAAGCAATGTTATTCAGGATGAAGGGATCAAGATATCATGTCACAATTATAACCAGAGGAAAGAAAAAAAAAAACAATATCTGAAAACATTCTGATGCACAATATGTTAAGAAGTAAGATAGCACCTCATTTGATAGGTCCCCCCCTTACCTCAGAGAGATAATAAATCTTCCCAAAAAGAGCTTGCACAGCAAATTTTCTCTTCAAACCCTTCTCAGAATAGCCTGATACATCCATAACCACTGGACCTGAAAGTTGAGAGACACTTGTTTTCAGTAAATAAACTGTTGCAGAGATAAAAAAATAAAAGCTAGCCATGACAAATTTTTAGCAGATTATGTCCACTATAAGTGCTAAAATGGGTGGGGGGATAACATATGAAGAAAACAATTCGAGACCATGCTACAGAGTTCTTTCGACTGAATGCTGAAATAAGTAACAAATGATGTCAACATTGAGTTGCTTGTTGAGCTGATTTTAAACCAAACCTAAACAATCATTCAGATTGCAATGAAATCTTTTTTGGCTTTAGGTCCTTAAAGTAGTTGATGTCCATGCAGTTTTGACCAGTGGAAAGAACAATAGATCATTGGAATGTATAGGCTTTCAATCAAGAAGTCCAACCATAACCCACAAGTTAACTTCATTGGCTATATAAAAACATGAGTTTCTTCAAGGTCAATGAGGCAGAATATTTTGCTACTTCTTCTCCTTTGGTGTGTGTGCCTCTGCGTTTGTGTGTGCGGGTGTGTAATCAGACCTTTCGTTTTGACAAGTGTAGATCAGACCTTATACTGTAAAAAAGAACATACAACAGATACTCAAGGGGGGAGAGAGAGAGAGAGAGAGAGAGAGAATCAAGGGTTAAAACAAATTCAGTAAAAGCAACACCTTTGTCTTGAACAATTCGACGTGAAATTTCGTTCAGTACTACAGCTACTTCAGAATCAGTCAGCATTGATGCTTTCCTCAACTGAATTAAATCTGCTACTAAATCCGGGCTAAATGGCTTCTCATTCAAGGAGTACCGAATATATTTTCGGAAAATCTCCTCCATATCAAAACCTACCTGCATTACATGGTTTAATTCAAGACTCTATAATGAGCAATTGAATCAATAACAGGCAGATGACATATTTTAGATGTATTAAACAAAAAGAAAGCAACTGGGCATTAGAAAAATATTTGAAGCAGAAACCTATCTTCTCCACCCCTAAATATGGATGCCTAATTCAAATTTTACCTCCACAAGAAAAGGCTAAGTGCATTTCCTACCGGTAAAGACGAATCTTTAGTTAAAATTCAATACGACAAGCAAAAACAAAGCATCTTGAGAAGATACCAAGTTATAGGCAGAAGAAGTGGGGCCTACCGGCCTAGTAGTCAATGAAGTGGGTGAGAACCATGAGGTCTCAGGTTCAAATCCCAGCGGAGGCAAAAGACACTAGGTGATTTCTTCCTATCTATCCAAGCCTTAGTGGCTAGAGTTACGTGGTACCTATTGCTGGTGGGAGGTGTCAGGTATCCTGTGGAATTAGTTGAGATGCGCGCAAGCTGGCCCGGATACCACAGTTATAAAAAAAAAGTGCCAGTCGGTTTAAAGGAAAGGAATATTACTGAAGATATTGAAACAAAGTTACAGAGGCATTGCACCCAAAAAGAGTTTATCACAACCACTAGTGATAGGAAAAGGTAAAAGGGAGTGATTCTACTATATCATCCTGTTCAACAACTTTTTAGACAGAAATTTCCAGAACCATTAAGCTTCAAGTCAATAATATACATATCCTCATCAAATAAAATTAGTAGACAATTATTTGCTTTGTTGATTAAAAGCTAACTAGATACTGAAAGTAATCTAAACGGTTAGCTCCTAGCAGAAGATTGTCTAAACTGCAAACTAGTTGATCAGATTCTCAGAAGCTCTCCTAATTACTTCAGGATAAGACTGATATTTACATGAAGATAAAAGATGACAGAGGTAGGAAAGAAGGAGAAGGGGCAACGCTCAAGAAAAATTGCAATACCATGAGAACATAGAGGAGAGACTTACAAGTATAATGGGCAAACTAGCTACAAGATGAGATTTTGACCTAGAAGCATTTATTTTATTATGTTGACTATGATTATGACCTAGAAGCATCTAATCGACAATGGTACAATAGTCGATTTGAAAGAGACATAACTGTGAACCCTGAACATACAAGGAAAAAGAAACAGGATTTTGAAAGCCTACCTTTACTGCAAACAAGGAAAGCTAGATGTTGTCCCGTGGAGAAGGAGAATTTGCTTGATGAAATGTCAAATTAAACTAGAGAAAGAATTACAGACAATAAATCATACCTTTTGTGCCAGTCCCTTCAAACTAGCAGGCTCAACATTGTCTTTTCCTTTCTCAAATAATTCATCGATTAACTTGCATAACACAGCATTTTTGTTGACCTAAAAAGCCGTACTTGTCAGGCTACTCATCAAGAAACACATAATAGTTCCCCTTCTACAAGATGACCATTCACACATTACATTCTTAAACCATGATATTACAGCAAACTCAGCATATATATCTCCACAGCAGGCAAACTGCTAATAAGCAACTTGATCTTATTTGTTGTACTATACTTGAGAAGTTTAAGACACTATTGGAAAATAAAAAAGAATAGAAGTGCATCAGTAGAGTTATGCACTTCATTTCTGTCATCAACACTGAAAAAGGACATTTGTTTACTAGTGTAGTTAGGTAGAGATGGAGCAAAATGACTGGATGAACATTAATCTCTTCATTTCTATTCAGGAAATATTCATATAACCCTATTCCTTAAAATAGCTTCCAGTTTAGTCCTTTCTATTATGAACATCTGAAACAATAATAATCAACAATTTTCTTTGAAAGAGTTTGACCATAAATGTCCATTTGTTATTGATATAATAAGGGAATTAACTTTTGAATGACTAACCAAGCAATAAAACTCCAGTATAGAAAAGACAGTGAGCGTCAATGCACGACTATGTTTCTTAAGATATACTACTATTAATTGTGTTTCTAAGGGTGATTTCCCAGCCATTTACACAAAATCCAAGAAGAATTGTAGTTTGTAAAGGACAGACAGTGATAATAAATGAAGCATGGAAATAAGGAGAGAGTTACAAGACGGACCAATTTACGGCGCTTCTCCCGAGGGGAATTGAACTTGCGGACGGTTTTGACGAAGGCAATGACAAAAGTAATACCAAAGTAAGCCAAGGGAACCGTTAAAATCCATGGGAAGGAGGTCTGGCCGACCCTGGGCCCAGGAAGAGCCTGAGTCACAGAACCGGTGAATTCAACCAGGTCCAATGCTTTCTCCTGTATCCATGGAAGCTCCTCTTCTACCTCCTCTTCTTCCAACTCTTGTTGTTTCTCTTCTTTCCTTTTATCACTACTCACATTTGCGCCGCTGTCACTCTTTGCTGCTTTTGCTGAAAAGCGCAACGCTGAAAAGCTCTTGTTGCTTCTACTACCACCGGGAAAACTGAAAATTCCACTGCTGTTGGGAGGAGATAGGGCACGGAGATGAAAAAAACGGTAAACTGTACAAGAAGAAGCGGCCATGGGAGATGCCGTTAGACTGAAGTGATTGTGATTGTTGTTATGTTGCCGGCAGAGAAAGAGGAGTACTACTATAGGACTCGGGAGGCTAATCCTGTCAATGACGCGGCGGAACTTAACACATGACCCTTTTTTGGAGCCACCTTTTCTTTTCTTTTTCTTTTTTTTTTGGGTCCTCCATTTCGAAGCAATTTTATTTTGTGCTTCACACAATACATATTTATGGATCCATATTTTATATTTGGGTCCATAAAATTCTGGAATCACACAATTGTGAGACAAAAAAAGGTCTCAAAATACAAAAATTCTCCATTTTCGGAGCTGTAGCATATCTAGCTTATTATGAATATTTCTTTGGATATAAATACTCCTAATTTGCCACAAATGTTCAGAAATATTCTGCCTCAGCTGGCTGATTTTCTTAATCATGTTTTACGTCACTATTTATATTAATGGTCGGATAAATTTCACAAATGGTCATAAAATTGTGATATCTTTCACCAAATACATATAACTTTATTTTTTCACACAAAAATCATAAACTTGTATGGGATAAAATATGCTCGTATTTAATGATCACTTGAGAAAATGACACGTGGAGCCGAAGACATAAGACAGTCAAACCGAAGGCCATGATCTCGCTTTCTACGGATAGAATGATATTCATAAAGACAAAATAAATGGTTGTCATCCGGTAGCATCCAGTGGAGAATATTCTATAGCATTAAGTGCATGATTATTGCAGAGAATATGACACTTACTACCCACCGTTACACATTCTTCAATGGCCCTCATAATTGTCATTAAAGATGGGCTTGATCCTAGGACTTTGTTCCGTGGGTGTAACTATAAATAGTGAGATTTACCATCATTGTAGAAAACGAATTTGTTGATAAGCATATACTATATTCTATCAAAAGCTCAACAACACTTTACTTGCTTATTTATATTGTTCTTATTGCCTCCGGTAGCTCTACGCCCGGGACTAAGATATCGGTCGTTTCATTTTAATTTCAAGGCTAAGTCTTACATTTTTGTCTAATGCATCTATTATTTTTAGATCAAATTAATTCACTTGTCTATAAACTGCGTATAAATTCAAATACATTATTTTACGGGTAAACAATTTGGCGTCCACCGTAGGGTATAAACAGCCGTGTAACTGAATTGATCCTTGCATATATTACTAACTTGTTTGATCCTTTGTTCTTAGCAAAAATCATTAAAAATGGTAAATTATGGTGTCAACAACACACACAACATTGAGGCCCAAGGAAATCAGGCTCAGCACGAAGATTCCATCAGTGATACCCGCAACGAGGGGAATGAGGCCACGCTGGTTCATGGTGGACAATATCCATGACATGTTCGAAAGGCAACTCCTAATGATGTTTAAGGCGAGCACGTCGTCAAAACAGTAAGGATCTTGAAGGAGCAACAAGAGGCCATTATAGGTCATCTCACACGGCAAGATAAGGACATGACGTAACTAAAGCAGGCGTTGTCGGGTGCTTCCAATAACGCAAATGGACGAGGTCCAGTTCCTCCGGTGCTCCCGCAAATCAACCAACGCAGAGGATCGACAACAGCACCACGAGGGGTGAGGTCGGTTGCGATGTGGGATAGAGGGAACGGTCACGCCTCGACATCGGGCAGTGCAAACGGCGCTCAACCGAGATACCCCGGTCAAGCAAGCCTACTTGAAGTTTTCTACCTAACATTACCTATGAATAAAGTGAAGATATATTCCAAAATTTAGATAATGATAAGATTACATGGACAACACCAATTTCATAACCATTAGAAATTCAATCAAGAGTTCCCAAAATATTACATTACACAATAGTATTTAGAAGAGGAAACGTGTGATACAAATACAACACCTTTAGTTTAACTTTCCCAAAACCAAGATACAACCTACATTACGTCTATGTAGCCTCTAATGGATACAAAAGAGCAGTATGATGGTGCCAGCAATAAGGCCCCGGCTATACCTCAAAATATTATACATAGAGGACAAAAGATACAAAACTCTGAAATGAAGTGGGGCTCACCAAATCAGATGAGGAGAGGGTGTACTGCTATCACTAATCGATGCCGCCTGCTGTGAAACCACCTGCATCCATTAAATATTTAGTGTCCCCGGTAAAAGGGACGTTAGTACATATAGAATAGTATTTGTATGTAAGACTTAACACCTTCTCAATAGAACGAGTAACAATACAATGAGAAAGAAATATATAATCAATGACAACCTCAAACAATATTAAAGTGTCAAGTTAAGAGAAAGATAAATTTCAAGTAAATTTCAATATTCATAAGCTGGAGATCTTTTGTACTGATAAGCCGTCTCACCATAATGCCATGTGGGTCGATATCACATCACATTCCGCTAGCAATCATCTCATCCCAATTAAGGAAAATAATCTCAACACATCAATCTCATCCTATTTAAGGGGAACAATTTCAGCACATCAATACGGGGATTTACCCCTTAATTACTCCAACACCGGCATGTGTAGTTTTGGGGTTAGGTTATTTCAGTCTACCCTTCCTCGGTGACGAAACGATACTCCCAAAATATTTATTATAAAAAGGAGTTACAATACATTTCATAATTTTCACACTTCTTTTCATTTCATTGGCACTATTGGCCACAAGTGGGTTTCGTTCTTGCAACGTCGGTCGTATTTCATATTTCATACACACTCCTTTTACTTTCAAACATCATCTCAACAACAAGGCATTTCTAATTAAGACTTTAAGTATACATATGAGCAATAAGAGTCTTAAGCACTTTGAGTTTTCTTCCACAATTTAGCATAATAAATTGCAGTTAAAATATGAATTAAAGTCATAGCATTTTAATACACAAATCATACTTGAACACATTTCCGAAGGAGAACATAATGTGATAGGAGCAATTGAAATATATTTTGAGCATATAATTTCTGACACAATGCTTATTTGGAATAATCGGCTTTATTAGGAATAATTCGGGACGTGAGAAATAAGAATCATGCGCCAATCACACTTGAGAATTACGTGAACATCATGAGATTCGATTCTAAAAGAGAAGTTTACCTAATATACCTCGCTTGAACTTTTCCTTAAATTACTATAATGTTCCAGAAATCCTAGCACCTTCAATCTATTAGAGAGACGACTAAAATCGAACCACAATTAGAAAGAGGTTCATGGGTTCAGCTCATTTAAGAATTTCATCAAACACTATGTGTGCAAACTTAACTATAAGGTTCTTCTACAAGATTTCATTCACCCCACAACCAATTGAACACCAAGAGTTTACCTATATAAGTTCAGTGACCTCCCCACCTTTCTTATTGATACATGCATGCATTAATAACAACTCTCAGACCCAAGAATCACACTCCCTATTACCCAACTTTTGCCCAAACTCGAAACTGGAGACTAGGGTTCGGAACCTTACCTCTTAAGTGAAGACCTTGTAAGCTTTCCTTGTCGAATTTCAAAGCTTGAGCAAGAATTTGATGAACAAAGGGGGTTGGGGCTTCCTTTTCTCTCTCTCTCTCTCTCTCTCTCTCTCTCTCTCTCTCTCTCTCTCTCTCTCTCTCTCTCAGATACTCCCCTCTCTCCAAAATAGCCGTCTAAACTAGCCCAAATGACCTCCAAGGTCGTTTTATAAAAATGGGATCAGGTGAAATTTTCCCAAACTTAAGCCTACGAAATCGGGTATGCGATCGCAGATCGGACTGCAAAACGATTATGCGGTCCACAAAGGGGACCACAAAAATGGTCCAAGAACTAGGCAGGTCTGGTCTCTATAGTCGTTATGCAACCTGCAAAATGGTTATGCAGTCGTATAACGAGCCGCAAAATCTGCCTTAGGAAATCTTCATACTGGTTCTACGATGGATGTGCGGCCTGTGAAATGATTATGCGATCGCATAATTGACCGCAAAATGATCTTCAAAAATTGACTCAAGTTCTGTTGCACTCTGAAGCCGATCTGCGGTCCATGAAGAGGTTCTGCGGTCGCATAGTGGACCGCAGAAACATCATATTCTACAACACAAAACCCCGAGTTCTAGGTAAAATTTTACGGGGCCTTACAGGAATGGTAGTGGTTCCGGTAACAACAATGAAAACGATCCCTTTAAAACTGAACTCATGCGGTTTATAAGGGAAATAAACGCCCAAATGGATCAAATTTTGGGCGCACCACAAGTATTGAAAGGACCAGATTCAAATAAGTATACCCAACTGCCATTCAAACCGAGCGTGACACCAGAATTGATCCCCAAGCGGTTTAAAATGTCAGATGTACCAAAGCATGATGGGAATTCAGATCCTCAAGAACACATCACCACCTATACTATGGCAGTAAAGGGGAGCGATTTTGCTCCCCACGAGATTGAGTCAGTTTTACTGATGAAATTCGGGGAGACCCTTATGAAGGGAGCCTTGACATGGTATTCTCTCTTGCCCGATCACTCTATAGACTCTTTTGAGATGCTCGCAGATTCCTTCATCAAGGCCCATGCCGGGGCCAGAAAGGTACATGCCTGAAAGGCCGACATATTAAAGATTGTACAACGAGAGTCCGAGTTGTTGCGGGAGTTTGTAACCAGATTCCAGAAGGAAAGAACGTTGCTACCTGATAATAAGCAAAATCTAGGTGATTTAGCTATTGTTTATGCTTCTGCTTGATGATATTCCAATGATATATTGTGATTAATTGATGAATTATGGGCTTTAATATTGAATTGTATATATTTCAGGTAAAGAAGCCTATATTACGTAAATCAAATATGATTGGAACCATTTTGGAGCAATAAAAACCCCTCGGAACTAATTATGGTGGAAGAACAAGAAAAGAATCAAGAACATGGGACAACTGGACTAGCGCGGCAGATGCGCGTCCGCGCTAGTCCAGATTTCGGAAAAGATTGTTTAAGGAGTAAAATTGGAATTCCTTCTTAATCCCACTCAATTTACATAAAGCAAAAACTCCATTATTGGATTGATCAGATTTAGAAAGGAAGAAATAATTTTAGAGAGAGAAAGTGAAGAGAAGACTCAATCTTGAAGTGAAGAAAAGAAGGGGATTACAATCTTGAAGCA